AGTAGTTCGTTACAAAAAATAATACACGAGAGAAGAGAAGTCAGGTGCCTTCGTATAACCCCATATTCGCCCAGTCCTGGTTTGGAGGTCCGTGGCACTTGGTCTCGTGGTGTATATCAACCACAAGTTTATGTCTGATAACTTTCATGTTGGCGGGACACAGTGACAGAGGAAATGGCAGTCCAAGAGCATGATATTCAATAAACTTAAGGCAATAAACTCCACAATCACCACCTGGCCCTTGCTGTGGCACCTCCTTTGCTTCTAGCCGTGTATGCGTGAAAGCGTCATATGGTAACTTGTATTTATCTTCTGGGATAGCCATTTCCCGAAGCAGATAAGGCAGCATGACTGCAAGAGGCTCAACTGCTTTCGCTATTTCCGCAGCGCTAGAATGATGAACGAGACTGTCCCAAATGTGAATGTGCCTCTGAGGTATAGAGATACACAGAGCAACCCAATGATCATCCTTTACATTCAAGGGCGTGTGTATGTCATCGACGTCCACCCCCCATGTCTTGCCTGTTTTGCAGTACACTGGTGTCTCACCGGTGTAATAATCAAGGGCACCAGGCGGCAGTTGTCTACCTGAGCCATCGGGATTTGGTTTGGTAGCAAGAAAATCCGCATACTTGGTACGCCACATCATGCTCAAAATCGTATCAAGTAAGCAGATACGATCACTCCTAAACCATTGCGGATGTTCCATGAATCGACGTCTCAGCAGGTTGATGACAGCATCCATGTGCTACATAGCCAAATAGGGAAGTCAAGAAAGTCAGAAACAAAAGTCAAGAAACAGAAGTCTACTGGAGAAGAAGTCTACTTGAGAAGAAGTCTACTCGAGAAGAAGTCTACTCGAGAAGAAGTCTACTCAAGAGAAGTCTACTCGAGAAGAAGTCTACTCGAGAGAAGTCTACTCGAGAAAAACTCTACTCGAGAAGAAGTCTACTCGAGAAGAAGTCTACTCGAGAGAAAGACTAACCGTATCTGCGAGCCATTGCTGTGGCATCCTCAGCAGCCACCACCAGTGGTTTACCGGGTACTTCTTAGCATGTCTACTCGGCCAATTTCTGCAGACAACATTAGTACATAATCATCAGACTATAATTAGTACACAATCACAAGACTCACAACTTGTTCCATACAAAGAACTTACGGAAGACGTTTGAAAAACTCAGTTACAGCTTTATTCTTCGCTGCATCAATGGGAGCAAAAGGATCATATCCAGCGCCTAGTCTAGACAACCTCCTTGTCTTCTCGGAGGTCTTGGCTCGTGACAAAATTTGTGCCACGACCTTCTTTTATTGCTGTTTCCTTAACTGCACCTCCAAATCCTCTTTCGTTTGTTTCCGCGACTCGACAAATACGACACTATCCACGTCCTCGCGGTTGACACTCTGACATGGCTTTTTCTGAAATAATGCATTATACATGTTACTGAGAAGAACAACATGACAGAATAAACGGTTTTATTTATTGGAATTTTTTAAAGTAAACAAAACATAAGTAATAGTACAGGGTACAGGTACAAATTTTTGAAAACATACAAAAATACATAAACATCTAGTTCTTTTTGGAAGATCTCGCTCTTGCCCTAGTAAGCCTAAGAACTGGACTCAACGAAGGAATAGCAGGCTTAGCAGTCTTAGAAGTCTTAGAAGTCTTTTTAGTAGATTTGAGAGAGGGATCGGTACTAACCCGACCATCATTAGACATGACATGCTCCTCATCCTTTGGCTCTTTCATCTTGGTAACAGTATGCTCCACGGCGACAAACTTTTCAGAGAGGAGGTCCAACTTCTTATCGAAGGCCTCAAACCCAGCCTTTATTTCCCCAGACAATGTTCTGCAACATTCTGAGAAATGTTGCTTCATCGCCTCAGCAAGACTCTTCAAACCCTCCTCTTCTATGGCAGCAGAAGGCACTGGACAAGTCTTCTTCATGCTCCCATCATCTGGGTCAACACGGCTTTCATCATCTTTAATTTTCCTTTTTTGGCCCTTTGTGGCCTCTAACTTCTTAGCCCCTTTGGACCGCCAATGACTAGGCTTCCACGTCCAACCACCACCACCAAACTCCCCAAACATGGCTCCCACAACGTTCTCGATAAGGACATCGTCTACCTCATCATCCCAGGTAGGGATCATTTCCTCCCGTTCCTTGACACAAAAGTTGTTGAAGCTAACCTGCAAACAACTGGAATATATATGTTACAGAGGTCTACGCAAAGAATTATACTAGAGAGAAGTCTACTAGAGAGGAGGAGAAGTCTACTCGAGAGGAGGAGAAGTCTACTCGAGACAAGGAGAAGTCTACTCGAGACGAGGAGAAGTCTACTCGAGACGAGGACAAGTCTACTCGAGACGAGGAGAGGTCTACTCGATAAGCAAATATAGTTTAGGATTACCTGTTTCAGCATAGCTACTTTGATGTATTTTTGTCCTCGGCAACCGTTGAAAGCCAGCACCGGTGGAGTTGGGTTATCGGGAAGGGGATTTCCGTAATGCCTCCCAAAATCTGGCATAGCATAATACGCCCAAACTTGGAGCACTTCGGCAAAACCATAGAGAGTAACAGTCTTGGTCAAATCAGCTCTTTTGAAAGACTCTATGAGGGTCTTGAAAGCCACTCTTCCCCATGGGTAATTTTCAAATGCCTCGACATCCATGACTAGCCTGGCATAGTTCAACCGTGTGGGTGAATCCATCCTTCTTGGCTCGATAAATCCAGCGAAGATGGATAAATATCATAGCCTAAGCTTCTCATCCCTTGTCCACTCCCCAGCACGCTTACATGCTTCAGTAAGTTCATCAACGGTGGGGCCAATATCTATACTAACGCCAAGCTTCTCCCAGAAACATTTCATCTCAGGAGTAACTTATGCTTCCTCCAGTTTCTCAATATCCTCGCAGTTGAGACCGGTGAGTTGTTCAAACTCATTAAGTGAAAACCGCAGTGGGGTTGCATTTATGAGACTCTATATCTCATACTTCTTCTTGCAGTCCAGCTGAAAACCGAGTATAAACTGCACCACCCTCGACGCCCAGCCAAAATTCAGTTTGTAAAACTTTAGAAAAACACCAAGCCTTGATTCCAAAAGCTCTTCCCATATATCTGCTTCCAGTACTGCTTCCAATGCAGGAAACAACTTCCTACTGTTGCTGTAGTAGGCTATACTTTTCCCAGGTTGGGGCTCCTCGTCCTTTGTGAATAATCTCCTTGGAAACTTGGGCTGCTTCTCCATCCTGCAAAACCAAATATGACATAAATATGCAATAAATATATAATTATTAGCAAATGGCAGAAGTCTAGTTCAGAAAGAAGTCTACTTTTCTCCAAGAAGTCTACTCGCGAAAAAGTCTACTCAAGAAGAAGTCTACTCGAAATCGAAGTCCACTCGAAAGAGAAGTCTACTCGAAAGCGAAGTCTAATCTAGAGAAGTCTACTGATACGAATTCTAAAATAAATCACTAGTTACATAAATTACCTTTTCGAACACTGAAATCCGGCGGAGACAACCAACAGCGTCGTCGACATCTGTAAATCCAAACAAAAAATTTCCAAATTAGCGGCGGCGATGATATCTAGGGCAAACAATTGAATCTAATAGATGCCGAACAAAGAGAAATGAGGACAGAATTACCAGCAGTAACGAGGCGACAAGGCAACAGAGGAGGCGATGAAAAGAGATGACGAAATCGATTAAGGTCTATATACAGATAAAGAGATATACAGAAGTGAGAGATCTGAGAGAGGAGAACAGAGATTACCTTCGTTGACAATTTACAAACGGTGGTGACGAGTTGAAGCAGCGGCGGCGACGACGGTATGAACGACGACAGAAATGGCAAAAGAAATCGCCCAAACGCTGGTTACGAGTCGAGAGAAACTAAGGTTTGTGGAATGGGTTACTTTCTGGTAAAAATGAATATATAGGCCGGTTAAAAATGGGTTAGTAAGATTATTCGGTTCAGTGATTGTTTTTATTTTACTCGGACATAACCGGTCAAAGAAGTCTACTTTTGATTCTAATTCGGTAAGAGAAGTCTACTAGATAGAAGTCTACTTTGGTCTGAGACGTCTACTCGAGAGAAGTCTACTTCGGTCCGAGAAGTCTACTTAACCTTAAACCCTAAATCAATTTTTTTTAATTAAAACTTATATGAAAACATTAATTACTTACTATATTGACCAGTCATAGTTAAAGTAACAAATATATGAACCATGATTCATTAACTGAACCATAAACTATGATTCATATAGAATTTGTGCAAACCCTAAGAATTACACTCTTATACCCTAAATCCTAAACCTCAACCCTAACCTTTTTGATTTGTATACTTATGAAACTTATAAATTGATTCATTTTCATGATTTTTTTTTTATATAGATGCTAAATGTATTTGTTTTATTTGTGTATATAATGTTTTTACCAAATTATTTTTTATGATTTTTAAAATTAGTGGTAAAAAAATTATAAGAAAGTAAACTTCTCCAAGAAGTCTACTCGTGAGAAGTCTACTTTGGAATCCGAGAAGTCTACTTCGTATTGATTTCTAACCTAATTTATCTATGATTATTTAAATTAATTATTTTTTGTCAAATTTTATTTTTAATAGGTGTAAAAAGTATATGTTTTTGTTATTTTGATAATTTTTTTACCAAATTATTTTTCATGATTTTTTTAATTAATGGTAAAGACATTATTAGAGAGTAGACTTTTCGGGGATAAAACAGTAATTGCAGCGAGCGTTTTTTTGTTTGGTCAGGAGGGTTAATGTTATAATTTCACTATCTCTGTGAGTTATTTTTGTCAAACATACAATAGAAAATCTAGTTTTGCAATTCAAATCAAGTTTTGAGTCATATTCAGCAATTACTCATTTTCTTTCGAGTAGTAGTACTTAATAGACTCATCAGTCACAACCGAAATGACTTTGTTATTATTTTAATTTAATTTTAATGTTTAAAAGTTATTAATTTTTTTGGCTGCAAAGTTAATTCATTGATTTTCAGTCACCTTCTTTTTCCCAAATCAACTCATCAGTTTCTGCTCATAGTTTTCACCGGAGCTCAATTTCTCAAACTCCGTTTTGCTCAGCTCGAATCAGCTCTAATCAGCTCGGTAGCGACTTCTCTGCTTGCATTTCAGCTAATTAGGTTTTTTTGTTTGTTTTTGCTTTACAAACTTACCCAAAAGCTACGCCGTTTTGATGAAAGCCAAAACAAAAACCCTCGTCTCGTCCTTCTTACACGACTCTTTTCTGGGAATCCGACTCCGAATTTGAGAGAACAAAGGGGCAAAACTCGAATCCTCAGTATATCACAGAGCAAATTTCGGCTAGGAATCAATAATCAATTTGCGAGTAGGATGTCTTCCTCATCGAACCAAATATCGTCGTCGTCGGTTTCAGGTATGTAAATCAATGTCTCACTCTTCGTGTTTGCCTTGGAAAGTTTGGATCTTCAAACCTAACGGATTCGTCTCTCTCGCTCGCACCAAACATATTAGCTATCCTTTACGTTAGCTAATCGTTTTCTTTCGTCTGTCTCTGGATTTTTTTTTGGGATATATGTGTGAGATTACCATTCTATGGGTTCCCGTTTGACTCAGTTTCCTGATAAAATGTTGATTAGGTTGATCTATGTTTCCGTAACTCCTAAGCCTCTTCAAACCTGTCTCTCTGAAACTTACGGTTGCAATTTTTTTGTTTCTACAGAAAGAGAACAAATGGTTGATAAAGAGAAATCGAAACAGGCTCGTTCCAAAGATTTGCAGGAAGATATGATAAGTGAATTGTCTGATCCTTTGGTACATGAGATACTTTCTCATCTTCCAATAAAAGATGCTGTGAGGACAACCGTTTTATCCACCAGATGGAGTCGTCTATGGCTTTGGGTTTCTCGTTTGGAATTGAATTACCGAAAATTCCCAAGTTTAGGCACATTTGTGAGTTTTGGTGACAGGTTTTTCGATTCGAGTAGGGCTTCACGCATGCACAAACTCAGGTTAACTATTGCTGGAAAGGAAGAAGGTATAGATGTTGCCTCTTGTTTTAGATCATGGATTGATGCTGCAGTGAAGCGTAAGGTCCAACATCTGTATGTTCTAAGTGACTTTAATGAGATGCCTCCAAGCCTTTACAACTGTGAGACAATGGTATCCTTAGAACTCTGTGTTGTGACTTTGGGTGATATCGAGTTTGTTTCTTTGCCTTGTCTGAAGACGATGCGTTTAAGCTATATTGAATTTACCAATGATGCCACCTTTGAGAAACTTGTCTCATCCTGCCCTGTCCTGGAGAAGTTAGAGATTGAGAGAGGTCCTTCTAATTTTGATGCAAAAGTCTTTAGGGTGCGCTCTAGGTCACTGAAGAGCCTCGTTTTTAAAAAACTTTATGGCACGCATGCTCCTGGTTCAGCAATTGTGATTGATGCTCCTCAGCTACGATTTTTGAGCATCGTAGATAACTTATCAGAAAGCTATATGATAGCCAATTTGGATTCCAATGTCAAGCTAGATCTTTGTGTCCACTTTATTAATGGGTATTTTCACCAAGCGTTCTTTGCATCAGAGAAACACATTCCGCGGTATTCTCACTGGAAGTTCAAAGGTCAGGGATATGACAATTTCGACATCCACTTTTCAGGTATATTATGTCTATTCTGGTATTGGACATGTAAATTTTCTATCATGAAAGTTTCTGACCCACTTTTCTTTTTCTTTTTGGCTCCAGTTCATCTGTCGATACATGCAATCAGAACCACTGCCTCAGTTTGTTAACATGTCCCGCCTACATGTCGATCTCTGGTCATCTGATTTGAAATGGTTTCCAACTTTTCTTGAGAGTTTCCCAAAGTTGAAATCCCTCATTGCGGTGATGATCTCTGCTGAACCTTATTGAGTTTTATTTCATCTCTATGAATATTCTGTGTATCTTTGCATTGCGTTATAACTCTCTCTTCTTTTCCCTCAGGTATGCAATGATGGTTATGAGAAACCGAATAAAATAAGCTTCTCATCTGTGCCCGTGTGCATGTTATCGTCTCTTGAGTTTGTGGATTTCAAAGGCTCCTTCCAGGGATGTGCTGCTGAAATGAAGCTGGTGAGATACTTTCTAAAGAATTCGGCTGGCCTCAAGAAACTCACTCTGCGTGTCGGATCTTTTTCAACAAAAGATGACATATTGAAGAAACTTCTCAAAATCACTACCAAATGTGAAGTCGTCATTCTCTGATTGGTAAAGAGTAGAAGGAACATAGTGAGGTTTTATGTGTTCCTAACCGCTTGTTCCTTTTGGGTAATGGCCTAATGGGAATGAAACTATTTAGGTATCTTGTTGGAAATCTCGTTGTTTTTTTGGTGGTTTTGTGTAAAGACATCGATAAAACTATGAGGGTTTTGTTTTTGTAAAAGACAATGTAAATATGCGTAGCAGTTTCATGGCAACATTTGAGAGCTTTTTACTACTCAATTACTTATATGTTATATTTTACTGCTATATCTCTAGTATTACAAGTTTACAAATCATGTAAATTGTTACATATATCGTTCATTTTGCTGACTAGATCTGTCCAAATAAACTTTCCAATAGCATTATATCTACCGTATTACTACTCAAATGGATCAGAATGAAACAATTATCCATACAACAAAAGGGAAAATGGTTAAGGTTGAAAGAATGTTATTATGCACACAAATTTTCCATATCAAGAAATCTTAGATTCCTCGAACTTGGGATGAAAAAAACAAAAAATAATAGTAATACAAGAAATACGATACAACATATATATACATTACATGTATAGTTGGCGTCATAAACAATTGTTCGTACTTTGCATTTGCTGAATCCATAAAACAGCAAGAATCAGGTTTAAGCTGGGTCCGTTTCAGGTTCAGGAACAGGTTCTTTGCACATACAATTAGGCATTAGGAACTAAGGAAAGCAACGCAGCGGGTTTTCTTAGTTTGGCTCCCTCTGCGTCATTTGTGTCTGAGCATATCTTGCATTTGAAGTCAGCTCGTTTATTCTGTATGAGCTCGTAATCTTGCGAGCTCACAGATTTCACTCAGAGCTCGTAGATTCTGCTTGAGATCATAAGCTCAGCTCGTCAACTTCTAAAGCTCTTTTTGAAGCTCAACTCGTAGTTTATGCGTCAGCTCCTCAGCTCGTAGAATCTACTTGAGCTCATTAGCTCGTAAAGAAGCTCAAGATCTGTATATGATTGACCGGTAGTTTGTACAACTGAATATTGCAAAGATTAATCAAATAAAATACAATAAATTTTACAAGATGACGGATTAAGCATAGTCAAGACACGATCTCTCTCTTAACCCAAAAATTGCCACATAGTGTGTGTGACGGTTCTATGATGATTAGAGTCTCACGATATAACTGCTTTGTTTCTGCTTTTCAACACTGAAACACAGAGCCTAAAGAACCTTAAAAATTATGTGTACTCTCAAGAGAAAAACAGAGGAAAAAGAGAGAAGGATTGCTATTAATCGATTTATGTTGTGTTTTTTCTTTTTTTTGCCAACATGCATTTATATAGGAAAGCTATTGAAGAGCAAATGATATAAGTTATGATTTCTTTGAATAATCAAAATGTTCAAAAAGACTTAATGGAGACACTCTTTTTACTTATCAATGGCCATGAAGATTCATTCTCATCTTTGACCAAAACCACACCAATAAAGAGAAAGCTGTTGTTAGAAAAAAAAAATAATAATAAAGAGAAAGATATTAACTCAATAATATTATTTAAAAATAGATTTTATTAAGAAAATAGTTATGATTACCAATCATAAAACACATCATCTTTTGGTGGATTGGTCATTACTACTCGTCTTAACAATATGTATCTTAATGCATGGTATGTTAATTACATGTTTATATGTCAATAATTTATGTTTTTCCCCTATAAATAAGTCATTGTACCAAGTGATATAAAAAACAATATATGCATGAATTATTTTTTGCAAACTCTTGTTCATTATTATATTTTCTCTTTCAATATAATATAGACATTTACTTACAAAGAAGTATAATCTATAATTCAAAACTATATTATATTTTATAATACATTATTAGCATGATCGTCTCTCGATCCGTTTATATACAAAAATGAGATTTATTTTTATAACTATTTATAGAAAATAAATTATGTTTTCTTCCTTTATATATTATTTTGGAGTGCTCGACGATGTCTCCTTCAATCGATTGTTATGATAGACTAAGCTATCATGAGATAAAATAAAATATATTAATGGAATATTTTCTTTTCTATGTTTAAAGAGCTTGATCATGAAAATGATGATTGAGATCCAAAGTATATATTAGAATATCAGAAAAATACATGATTAGAAAAAATGGAAGAGGGCCATAGAAACATAATTATATTCCCTAAATAAAAAAATGTTTTTGGACTTATTGTCCCAACATCAGAGCATGTAATGCCAGTTAGATACAAATGAGTATTTATAAGAAAGAGAAATGAGAAAAATGAGGTCACAATATATAATGCTTGCCTTATGGCACAAGAATTTTCTTAAAAACCGGAAAATGATTATGAGAAAACATAATTCCTGGTAATGGATGTAATAACTTTCAGATTCTCAATGAGTCTAGTAGCATATAAGAATCTAGACATGTATCTGATAGATGTTGTAAGAAGATATCTATATGGATCACTTGATAATATATATATATATATATATATGTGAAAATCCCCGAAGGATTAAAAATACCGGAAGCATTAAGATCAACATCTAAGGAGATTTGGGCGATCAAATTACATCAATCACTTTACGGATTGAAACAATCCAGACGTATGTGGTATAATCACTTAAGTGAGTATTTGTTGAGTAAAGTTTATATAAACAATGTGATATGCCCTTGTGTGTTAACTAAGAAATCCACATCGGGATTTGTGATCATTGATGTTTATGTTGATGACTTAAATATAATTAAAACTTAAAAAGAGATGATGATGCATGAACTCATATGAAAGAAGAATTCGAAATGAAAGATCTTGAAAAGACAAAGTTTTGTCTTAAGCTAATGATTCCAAGATGGAATATTTGTGCAACAATCAAATTATACGAAAAGATATTAAAACGATTTAATATGGATAAAACTACTCTTTGAGTACTCTGATGGTTAATAGATTGTTTGATGTTGATAAATATCCATTTAAACCTTTTGAAGATACCAAAGAAATATTAGATCCTTAAGTACCTTATATGAGCACTATCGGTGAGATTATTTATCTTGCAAATTATAGTATATATATAACTTTTGCTACAAATTTACTTGCAAGATACAGCGCATCTCCTACTCGTCGATATTGGAACATAACAAAACATATATTTTGTTATTTACAATGTACCACTAAATTTGTTTTGTTTTATTTTAGAAACCCCGATGTTGATCTGGTTCGTTTTGCAGATGCGGGATTGATAAAGGTATTTCTCAAGCAGGTTTTATGATGTAGAGAGGTTATCAAAACTCTAATGCATGCAATGTTGTAGTAAGGCAAGCAGGAGAGTGTCAATCCACTTCTAGGAGGCAGAGAATGCACAAAGAATGCAAGGTCCTAAGCAAATCTAAGCAAAATGAGACAGTTTATGAGAAATTAACTAAAAACTAGATGCAGCAACCTAAACAGAGTGAAACCTATTTTAAAAATACTACAAAGGAAGCAACTACCACGAGAAACAAATAGATTAATTAAAGGAAAGAGCTTCGAATTGTTAAAATTCGACTAGTGGATCGACCACAAGATCGACCACTAGATCGAACAGTAACGATCGATCTCATCTAAAACCGTAAGAACAACAAATCTAATGACCAGGATGCTATCATATAACAAGCGAAAGATGAAATGAGACTTAAAGATTCTAAAAGAAAGGGCCTAGGGTTGAGATTCATGTAAAGGGTTTCAAAGGATCGATCTTGGGTTTGAAACTTTAGATCGACTCACTTGGTGAGGATCTCTAAGCCTTGAAAACAAAACAAGATCTATCAGTGGCTTTCAGTATAGATCACTCTTTCATCCTCTCCTCCAAACCCATGGCTTTTGGTGGCAAGAGAGGTCGAAAGGCAAGGAAAACAGATTTCAAGTAGATGGCTTAACTAGTCCCCCAAACTTCCATGGCTTTTGGGAAGGGGTAACTAGTCTCTAAGGTGTGATCTTCCGAGGCTCCTGGATCCTGTCAAGATAAGGAACCTCTCGGATCATGAAGCTCTTGGCGTGAGAGTCTTCAAGCATTAAGCTTTCAACACCTTAGAAGAGATAGCCTTAAAAACGTTTAGAAAACAAACCAAGATCGAACCTTTTCTACCCCTTAATCCTCTCAACCCCGAACCCAAAGTAACTACTCGCTACACATAGAGTAAATCAAGCAAAGGAGAAGAAATACGACGATGAACATGAAAGAAAAACTGGATTAAACGATAAAGATTCGAATACAAAAGCTTAAGAGAAAAACTGGTTCAACAATGGTGTTCTTCGTTAAACGAGAGAGAAAACATGAAGAAAAGATAAGGATCTAAAAGTTATCGAAAAAGCATCTCGCCGCCTTGCCTAAAATGCCCAAACAAGCCAATGGTCCCCCCTTCGCTAACAGCCAAAAACGGTTGAAAGGACAGAAATCGACCACTAGATCGAGTGGTTCTCTCGATCACATCCGGGCATCGTGTCTTCGGCTCGATCCGGGTCTCGATCTTCATCGGCGAATCGAGTGTTGCATCCGATCTCGGTATCGATCTTCGGGTGGATCGAGTGGTGTACTCGATCTGGCTCTCGCTCTGCATGGCGTCATTTACATCTGTACCGATTGATCGATCGCTTCACTCGATCTCCGTCTCGATCATTCTCCTTGGATCGCCTAGTTGGCTCGATCTTCTGGTCGATCAACTCCTGGATCGACCGGCCATGCTCGATCTTCTGCTCGATCACTCGTCCTTAGCATATTTCCGAGCTCCCATGAACTGCTACATTAGCCTCCACACGCCCACGAACCTCCATGACTCCAAAGCAGCCAGAAACAACCTGAATGTGATGCAAAATGCAAGGAAAATGCATATGCTGATGCAAGAATGCTCTAGGACCCTGAGTGATGCAATCTTACCTAAAACATGATACAAATGCATGAAAAACTAACTAATGAGTATGCAAAATGTATGCAATATGCAATAACATCAACTCCCCCAAACTTACTTCTTGCTTGCCCTCAAGCAACAAAAAACAAGTAAGGAAGAGAGGTTTTTAGGAAAATCAAAGGGGTTTTAAACTTTTCGCAAAGGTGCCTTATAAATGGATCATCTCATTGTCCTAGTTAACAGTTCTAAAATGCTATGCTTACACTCATACTCCAAAGAACTTAGCCATAATCATCACACAAAGAAATTCAAATCATGAATCTCCTATTCCTAACAATCAAAGAAACTCATCCTTTAACATTTATTAACATTCAAACCATGAATCAAACTTATGCACTTTAAAGCAAAACACATTTGGCTA